TGGAGGCCTATCACTGGCCTGGTGGCCTTCCAGTTATGTGCTTTGTTCAAAGCTTGCTTGGACAATTTTCCCACGTGATGATTGGTTCCACACATTAGAGGGATATCTCCGGTGTCTGTCATATTCCATTTCAATCCACTTCCATATCTGGGTCTGTGGACCACAGCAGCATGGACCAGATCATGGCTTCCAAAAGTCCTCTATTTGTGCCTTTGAGGGAAGCTTTGTGACTAATTCCAATATCATTTTACAAAGGCCTTATTGCCCTCTTGACATATTTCTTAGAATGCTTTCTGGTTTTCTGTTAAAAATGAGAATTCTGTTGCTTCCTCGATTAGTGCAATTCCTGTAGCGTCGAAGGCGTTTTCGTTAACGCCAAAAGCTTTTTGTCGCTAGGGTGTCAAGATGTTCTGTTATTGTTGATTTCAGCTAGGGCTCGTGCTTCGTATGAATTTGTATGATGAGGATGTTATTCACCTTTCTTCTCAGTTTTTCTGAGATATTTCCCATTTTTAATTGTGTGAGGTCTTCCGAATATCTCTTCCTAGTGCTTTCTATACGAATTTCACCAGCCGGGTCTTTCCCAAGGTGGCATTCTTTTTTTCACTTCGATCATTGCGGGAAGTTTGCCTTCGCGGCTGAAAAGCTTGGAACCGTTACATCTTGAAGCCCCCAAACCGCAGCACAATAAATTGCCCTGGTGTACTTCTTCGAAGATGGTCTTTGTTGTAAGATTTTTGCAGTACTTTCTCATTCAAGACGCTGATTGCTCTTTACTAATTTCTTCGAGCAATTTTGTCTGGGAATTGAAATAGCGGTTCAGTGGGTCAGTTCCTTCAAAATTCCCGCAAGGACGACTGCAAATTCATTGCGAATTTCCACCTCTTCTCTACTACTTTATCATCCATACTTTCTACATGGCTTGTCCACTTGTCATTCCTGCAGTTTGCACAGATGCATATCTCCACTGCCTCAGCATTACTAGGTTCTGAGGAGTTAAGCATGTTTCTCACTTCTTCCTTTGAGTGCTTCCAAAACTGTGCAGAGAGGAGATTTTTCTGAACAATTGCTCGGACGCTGGTCCGCTATTTCTTTGCTCACTAACTGCAGAATCAGGGAAACGGTGAAGAATCTTTGGTGTAACTGTTGTCGGTAGGCCGTAGTGTCAGTCTCATTTTGTAATGGTGTAGTATTCACGCATGATGAAGCGTATATTTCTATAGTCCCACTTCATCCTTCTGCGCTTGCCTGGCCTGCGGCCAGTGGTCTCTTGGAAAGCAATGATCTGCTTCTTGGGAAGCACTTGACGGCAGGTGCAGCTATAAGTGGAGATGGAGTGATGCGTGCTGCTATGTTCGGCTGTAGTATATTCGCGGATTATCCCGATCAGGGCCCCGCCTGTCAGCCTCCTGATCACACCGGCTCGCATGCTGTCACCTCCAGCGGTGGCTCGAAGGTGCCCCGGCGCTTCCCCAGGCAGCGGCTGCTTTTCCGAGGCCTTACGACGCATATCCGTGTCTCCCATATCTCATATGGGTGTGCCATCGCCTGTTTGCACGCCAAATTTCTGACGGTTGCCGGTTTCTCCCACGTGGCTAATTCTCAATTGCTCGGACGTAGCTCGCTTTGGGAGACAAGGCTGGGCTTTGGAGACATTTTTTTTGCTCCAAGCAAGAGTTGAGCTTAACGGCTATCGCAGCATTTGAGTGCTCTACCGTTGCATACTGCCTCGCCCGGTACCTAAAGGTCTGTCTACGGGAGCATTCCGAGTCCCGACAGCTTGTCCTTTGGTAGGGCCGAGTACCCATAACGGTCCGTGAGCGATCGAGGCCTGGGGATCGCTCGTATCCAAAGACTGACTTTACCCAGACTCGTTTTCTCTGCGGCCGACCGGCATTCGTGAAACCGAGGGCAAACCGCGGTCCGTAAGCCCGTTCCCTGGACGAGACGACGCCGGGTCGGTACGCACTATTGCGTATTGGAGCCTTGTTTCGACTCGGGGACTCTGAGAAATATTGTCGCTTAACGGTCCAGCAGCAGATTCTGCCGTTAGAGGCGTTTTCAGGCATAATCCAACGGGACGTAGCTTCGCAGCACCGGCCGCTCGGCCGTCTGCGTGAAACCCAAATGTCCGACCTGCGGGTCCTCTTGCGTACTGAGCAGGATTACTGTCGCAAACAACTCTCATCAGTAGGGTAAAACATTAACCTGTCTCACGACGCGTCTTAATTATTATTATTATTATTATATATAGTAACTCTATTATTATTATTATTATTATTATTATTATTATTATTAAATATTATTATTAGCGTACCGACCATTACTCAGCATATTACACGATTAACCGTGCGGTGGGGTATACAGTGGGGAATCAGGTTTGGGGCTGTATCCTTCGTAAGACAAGGATGTTACACCTTGAATTGTAAGTATGAGGCCGATGATAACAATGAGGGTGATGGATAATCACCTTACCTGACGCAGGGCTCGAACTGCAGCCCCCTCGGTGGCAGCCGACGGCTGACGCACCGTCAGCGCGCACGACGGCCGTTTTGCATCGGCACTCGGACCTGGCCTTTTTCGGGTCTCGCGGACGTGCACCCGCGCTTACCGAGGCTCAAGCCATCTTTATCCCGTGGCAAGTGCATGCGACTCCTTTTGGAGGGTATCAGCATTAAGCTGAAGGGTTGCTAGTCCAGGGTGATTGAAGAGGGCACAGTTGGAGATATGGAGGATGAATGGACGACACAAAAGAGATGCACACACAAACACCACCAAGCCCGGGCGGGACTCGAAACCGCCATCTCGCCACGGCACTACCTTCTTCATGGTCTCGCTTAAGGCATTGGCCTTTCTTCTTCTGCTTCTTCATTTCTTCTTCTTCTTCTTCTTCTTCTTCGTTCTTCTTCTTCGTTCTCTTCTTGCTTCTTCTTCTTCTTTTCTTCTTTTCTTCTTCTTGCTTCTTTTTCTTTTTCTTCTTCTCTCTTCTTCTACTTTCTTCTTCTTTCTTCTTCTTTTCTCTTTTCTTCTTCTTCTTCTTCTTTTCTTCTTCTTCTTTTCTTTTTCTCTTCTTCTTCTTTTTCTTCTTCTTCTTCTTTCTTCTTGCTTCTTTTTCTTCCTTCTTCTTTTTCTTCTTTTTCTTCTTCTTCTTCTCTTCTTTTTCTTTTTTCTTCTTCTTCTTTTTTCTTCTTCTTCTTCTTCATTCTTCTTCTTCTTCTTTTTCTTCTTCTTTTTCTTCTTCCTTCTTCTTTTTCTCTTCTTCTTCTTCTTCTTCTTCTTCTTCTTTTTCTTCTTCTTCTTCTTCTTCTTCTTTTTCTTCTTCTTCTTCTTCTTTTTCTTCTTCTTCTTCTTCTTCTTCTTTTTCTTCTTCGTCTTCTTCTTTATCTTCTTCTTCTTTTTCTTCTTTTTCTTCTTCTTCTTCTTCTTCCTCCTCCTCTTCTTCCTCTTCTTTTTCCTCTTCTTCTTCTTCCTCTTCTTCTTCCTCTTCTACTTCTTCCTCCTCTTCTTCCTCTTCTTCTTCCTCTTCTTTTTCTTCCTCTTCTCTTCTTCTTCTTCCTCTTCTTCTCCTTTTCCTTTTGCTTCTCCTTTTCATTTTCCTTCTTTTCCTTTTGCTTCTCCTTTTCATTTTCCTTCTTTTCCTTTTGCTTCTCCTTTTCCTTTTCCTTCTCCTTCTCCTTCGCCTTTTCCTTTTGCTTCTCCTTCTACTTTTCCTTCTCCTTTGCTTTCTCCTTCTCCATTTCCTTCTCCATATTATTATTATTATTATTATTATTATTATTATTATTATTATTATTATTATTATTATTATTATTATTGTTGTTGTTGTTATTATTATTATTATTATTGTTGTTATTATTATTATTATTATTACTTTCAAGTATACATACGTACATACGGAGTAATATACGTACTCGTAGTTTAGGGAAAGTAATGAAATGCTTCGCAAAAAACGACGCATTTTTGGCAGAAAAAAATTAATTGCCGAGCCCTGATAACGAAAAAGTGAATAAATCCAGTTGCTAAAATTAAGGGAAAAAAAGTCCTCTAACACGAACCTGGATCCCTATTCCGTGGGTCCTTGATACCGAAAAATCAATTGACAGCAAAACGTCCGTCCGTCTGTCCATCTCTGAACACTACCTCTGTCCATCTGGCTTGAGTTGAAGCTTCGAGATTTTGAAAATCATTCTTTAAAATTTAGGATACACACATGAAACCCTCCGCACGTTTTCAACATTTTCTCAAAAACGGCACCAAATTTTGTTTTCGAATTTCTTGTAAGACTTTCAACTCTATAACTTTCATACAAAACCAAGAACATACTGCTTGGAATTCGGTTGAACTGAAGGGAAGCGAAGAACGGTCGAGGATGATTGTATAATTATTCCAAATGTTTTTAGGAAAGTGTGAATTGTTTCAAGAACATTTTGTAAATTGATGAACATATTTTGTAAATACATTAAAAGTTACCTTTTTTAAACATAAACGTTTTATTAACAATTTTTCCCTTTAATATGGAAACGGAAGGATGGGGAAGAGCATGGGATTTAACATGCGAGATATCTCGCACGGGCACGCCAGTATTATAATAATTTTAAGAGTATATTTTTAAATATAATTAATTTGTCGTTTTGCATAAGCCGTTTATTATTATATTATTGATTTGTCGTTTTCCTTAATTCAAATTAACTGTATATGTTTTAAATTCATCTGCTTGCTTATTGGCTTGCTTATTGGAGAGCCTTGTGAAATAATTATGTTTGTTGGAAATTTCCAAGAATTTTTTCAGTTAGTTATGTCTGTTACGGTGATTGCACAATACGTCAAGCGTGAACTAATGAATAATTTTCTCCAGTAATAACTAGTTTGAGGTATTTTGTTTGTTTGTTTTATGAAGTTGTGTCCGTGTATTTAAAAGCGGCGCCAGGACAACCGCTAAAGACCAGCTCTTGAAGACCGTACACAAAGAGCAAACTCCTTAGGTAATTATTATTTGAGTCAGAGAATAGGTATAATAACCGGCCGATCGCTTCCCGTTGAGAAATTGTTCTGTTTGAGGTTATGTACAAAATATAGCACACATAGCACATTTTTTAAAGTATAATGACGGTACTACAATAGCCACGAACAATGTATTTTTTGCGCTGATCTTAATCGATCAATCGTCTTTTTGATATAACTACATTCGTGCCCATGGAATTCATGCGCTCAAATGTGTACCATTAAGTATTTACTTGACAATTTACTCTAATAACGAAGTGATAAGTGTGTTATTATAAATAAAGGACATTGTTTGATTAAAGATTGTGTTATTGCAAGTGCTCGATGTAGTACTGAGGAAACTTACAAATTGTGATAATGTCCATGCCATGAGCAGAGAGTATATATGAGCTTGACTATGTCATGAGTGCGCTTGACTGTACTTCGTGTGACAATGCAGTTGTGTAATTTTATTGTTTATTAACACTTGTTAGACGGGCAGGTTTGTTAAGTAATTTGTGTTTGATGTTGAACACCATTTTTAAGCGTTATTAATGTTGGACACTATTTTTTTCTTAAATGTTATTTCTAAGGAACTTGAGTGGTACGTGTGCTCGTGTTTCATCCATTCGCTCTTTCCTTCCGAAATCTCGACCCTTAGCCAGAAAAATGCATAAAGCGTACTTGCATCATGAAGAAGGATCCGAAACTTTTCAGCTGTGTATAAGTGTTAAGGATAGTTCACTGTCTGTAGACCGCCAGTTCAATTTCAAAAGACAGGTTACGGAAAGTGTGAATTCTTTTTTGGGTAGGGTCAATACTAATCTCGAAAAAGTATACGAAAAGAAGAAAAAGAGAAAGCAAAATAAAGCTCCTGCCAACGAAGAAACAAGCTCAGAGACTTCTGTAATTACGATTGATTTGTTAAGTAATGGCTCAACAGTACCTCGTGACACAATATGTAAGGATGTATTGTTTGGAAACAACAAACTTCTTTTAATAGTTTGTGGTACAGAATATGAAGTTGTTGTGAATGCCCCATGGATAAATGTTCTTTCACTTCCAACAAGTATAATGGCAGGTTTTCCTGTGTATCCCAATAAGTTAGAAACCTCATTTTTCAATAGAAATAAAAGTCTCTTTTCATGGTATCGATGCACAAAAGACAAACAAGAAGAGTGGAGTAAAGTTGGAGATGATTATTATTACACTCCCACAAATGATGACATTGGATGTCTTCTCAAATTCTCGTGTACACCTGGAAATGACAGCACACAAGGGCCATCATTTGATGTAGTGTCTAAAAATCCTGTGCAAGCAGGCCCTGGTCATTGTCCCTTTGAAACTCGTCATTTATTCACTGGAGAACGAGTAAATTGGCCAAGGTATGTGTTTTGCTGAAATATTGTAGTGATTTGCAATATAACCAACACATATATAGTGCAACAAACAATTACAGAAAGTTCCTTCATATAATACATATCATTACTGCCAATGTTTAAAAAATTCATTTTTTTTAACAATGAGCCAATTATGATCCATTTTACAAGATAAAAAAGATTTTTAAACATTATTTGCCTCCCAAAGCCTGAACATGTATTCAATAAACATGGTAATCTTGTATGTTGGTTAAATCTTGCATAAGTACTCACCAGATGCTTCTTGGAAATATCTATTTATCATATTCTTCAAATAATAACTTGTGATTCTTTTGCAAACATTTTACTAATGAAAACTTGTTAGTTTTAGGATAGTTTCATATAACATATTAGCTGATTTATATGCTGACTCTGAGACAGCCCGGAATCAATTATATCCATATTGCCCAGCGTATGCTATAGGAATCGATTATAGGAAACAATTGATCTGCAAGGAACTCATAGGTAAGTACCAATATTTATTCAATTCTGAATTAACTTGTTTGCCTATTATATTCTAGACTTTTCCTTATACTGATGCTTTTTAGGTTACAATGCTGATATATTGTGTTTGCAAGAAGTTGACCAGAAGGTTTTTATTAACGATCTGGACCCTTTACTCTCCTACTTGGATTACAAAGCAGTATTTTCAAAGAAGGGTGGTCAGGTTACAGAAGGACTTGCGTGTTTCTTCCACAGTTCCAAGTTTAGGTAAAACTTTGTACTGAAATTTTTTTTTATTTACAGAGGATAAAATCTGTTCAATTAGCCATGTAAATCCTTTTACAGATTAGTCAGCTCTCACACCATTTGTTTGGCTGAAGAGCTACCAGAAAATCCTGTATTTATAGATTTGTGGGAAAAGCTGAAAGATAATACAAATCTCATAACAAGGTTTAAGGATAGAACAACCAGTTTACTGGTAAGCAAATAATATCAGTTAGTCATTCTTGTAAGGTTAGACAGGGTGAGATCATTTCTAGATATAACCTCGGTTCCTATTGTATGTAGTCTGGCTCAAGGTGCATGTAACCTTGCTTATACATTTTGGTGTGGCAGCTAACCTACAGTCCTGATGACTACTCACAGGAGAGTTGAATGGTGCAAAATGTGCATCAACATGTGCTCTCCAAACGATTTTTAAAACTTGTATTATTTTTAAATTTTATTTAGGAATTTTTTTATAAATGTAATTTTGTATTATGTAATTGTGTTTAATAACTAGAGTATTTTAATATTACATATTATATCCTATTTATTACATATTCTTACAATTTTTTTTTACATATATACATACTTTGACGTTCTATTACATATATTTACGATCTCTAATCATATCTGTTTAACTTGCAGGTGACAATATTACAAAGTACAAGCAATCCTGATGAAATACTACTTATTGGAAATACCCATTTATATTTTCACCCGGATGCAGATCACATCCGCTTACTACAAGCAGGAATGATAATGCTGTACATGGAACATCTTCGTATCAATCTATCTTCTTCGGTAAGATTAGGAATTTATCATAATTTCAATTTACTTTATTATTGATCAGGTGATTTTTATTTTGAATTGCAGCCCAATTTGCTATCTCTAAAGGCAGTTTTGCGCGTTTGGTATTTGTCGGTAGCGAGCAACCGCTCCCCAAATTCCAGGTAGCATGGATGAGTTGGTTGCTCTTTACCAAGCGTTGAACAGTCAGTGCTTGACCTATTCACCATGTGTCAGTCTTGTGGATGCATCAAAAGAACTGAACATTCACCGAGCACAGCGGCTGCTCAGGATTGGTTGAGCAGAAGCTCACTACTGGGCAAATGTCAAATGTGTGGAGCTGCCTTAAGATTCAACTGTATATAAGTTGGTGCAAAAGTCACTGGACACCGATGTAAACAAGATTGAATTTGTTTTATTACAAATACAAATAATACTTACAATTATTTTTATGTACAAAGTGTTTTCCATCTTCATTAATACACCTTTCAAGTCTTTCTGGAACACTTACACACTCTATGGCATAGCATTGTATCACTGTCCAAATAATTAAAGGTGTCATGTATGTAGTCTTTTAGTTCAGCAATCGTCTGAGGGTTTTGAGAATAAACTGGTCCATGCTGATACCCCATATGAAAAAGTCCATGGGCATGATATCTAGTAAATCATGTCAATATCTGCTCTTCAACCAATTACTTTTCATTGGAAAGCTTTGTGTAAATCGAAAATCCTTTATTCTTTCGTTAACATCGTGGCAAGTGTTTAACAAAAAAATCTAATTCGGAAACTACAGCTTTTAAACCTCTCACAGATCACACTTGCAACAACACACTAGTTCCATTATTGTGTTTATCATTGCATTGTATGCCAACTTGACAAGGCGTAATTATAAACATTTTGTAATACCAACTTCTAGGGCTAAAACTACTGCACTACACTATAATGTTAATTATTTTGGTTTCTTTTAACCAACTGGTCAGTGACTGTTGCACCACCCTGAATATCCTATAAATTATACTGACTGATGTCTTCTACAATTTTACAGATGCCTAATTCCAGTGTATCTCTAATTATGTGTGGAGATTTCAACAGTACTCCTGATTGTGGAGTGTTTCAATTGATGACGACAAAGTTTGTGCCTGACGATTTTAAGGATTGGGAAAGCAGTATGTATGAAAGAGTAGACAGAATAGTTATACATTAAAATATAATTATTGCTGATAATTCTGTTAGCCAGTGAACTAACCAGGTATTGACTATGAAATGACTGCTTATAGTCAACTACAAATTTAGGAATAAACCTTAAATCCCCCAAAAAATTCATTATGTGAAAACAAAACTTCTCATTTTCTATATTGTTTAATTTTTTTGGAAATATAGTAAACTCTTTACTTTTAAAATTTCATTTTGGGAATCTGGGGAAGTTAGCCTAAGAAGGGATCTAAGAGACTGTTCAGAAAAGTAGTAAATATCACATTTCCTTCTGAGAAGTATAGCTGCCATGGCAGCTGTTCAGTAATACTTCCTAGTAAAAAGTTTGTTCATGGCTTCCGCAGAGACATCATCAGTGAACCCGAATCATATTGTCAACATACACCTATCACATTCAAGAATGTTTTGAAATAAAGATAATAGTTATCACATAAATAATGTGTAATATAATGGTTGTTAAAATACGAATTTTTAAAGAAGCACAAATATGGTTCTTCTAATTTTAGTATGTCTTCAGGCACACGACTTTTTCATTGGACAATGAGGTAGTTTGAGGAAGTGTCAAGTACAAGTGAGCCAGCTGCAAACAGAATGCATGAAAAAAAGGTGTGCTTATTGACAACATTGACAAGGACATGGACTGAACCTGCAGTTATGATGCCAGTGGCCAAACTACCAAAATTGAGATTTTGGTAGTTTTTCACAAGATATTATGGTTCCAAATAAACATTAAAGTTTGCAAAGCGGTCAATTTGCTATGCTCCTTAATTAATTTTTGTTGTCTGGTATAAAGAAAATTGACACAAAATATCAGATATGTAAATTCATATACTAAGATTCTTTTTTCCTATAACTATAAAAATGAGGGTTAGTTTGTTGTATTTCCCCTTCTTCCTATTTTCCTTTCTTGCACAGAGAGAATATTTCTACAATCTCAGAAATAACTTGAAAGGATTTTAGAAATCAGCTGATGTCCTTTTCGAATGTCACACTAACTGAATATTTTCTATCAGTGTGTAGCTTCCAGCATTGAATGAAAATACAGCCTATTAATTTTGGGGTGCTATATTAAATTATTTCCCTGGCAAAGAAGCATGTTCTCTGTTTTCTTAATAACTTTTAATACCTTACTTTGAAATCAATGATATTGTTTCTCATGTACTGCTTTTGAGTTTTCAATTAACAATTCATTGTTAATTGTAGAGTCACCAACTCCTAACAAATACTATAATTCCCTTCACCATCACTCCATCACTGCTGCCCAAAATATAATTGACATCTCAAATGAAGTTTTATTGCATTGAATAGAAAGTTACATATTTTTAACTTGTTTGTAAATGATAACATACCTTGGTACCTTACTTCTTATTTCAGTAAAATGTGATTTTCTTTTAAAGTTGATATTTCTTGGGTTAAATATTTGATATTTTCATGTTCTCTACTGAATTTTTGTGTTGACCTAAGCGCCAATAAATACCTCCTATCTCATAAGTGAAAAAAACAATAGATTCACACTAAAAATAATAATACAAGCACTTTATTTTCATTATTTGCTAGTCCTAATGTTCTATACCATAAGTTTCTAAGTTTTTTGTAAGTGTTTTAATTTAATATACTATGGACATTTGGAAAAAGTGTAAAAACATAATACAGAGGTTTGGAATATTACAAGTTTACTTTAAAACAATCTATTGCAGAAATGTATAAGATACCCCTGTCTTACAGTGTTGCTCAGTGAGAAGGGACATGCTGTCTTATTGTTGTTGAACCCTGTTTGTGAGAGCTGTACAATGAAACATGCTTCATAAGTGTATCAAACATACTTCTGTTAGCTTATAATTTTCTTTACAATTTCAGATGCACAAGAAGCTATAAAGAACATTTCTCTTTCTCATTCATTCCTTCTTGAAAGTGCATGTGGTACACCAGAATATACCAATTTTACTGTTGGTTTTGTTGGATGTCTAGACTACATTTTCTACCAGTGTGATAGCATGTCAGTATCTCAGGTAAGATAACAAGCTTTTAATGTAACTGAAATATTGAATGGTAAAGTAGAGAGAATGGGTTAGCATTTCAAGGGCACAATTAGAGATTTTTATGTAATTAGATTCGACTCTTAGTTTTCTAGACTGACCAAATGGAACAGGAGAAAATAAAATAGAACTTCATAGAACTGTTATTCTGTAGACTACATGTATATATATTTTTTCAACATTTTTTACTATAGTCAAGATATTATAACTGATTGGCAGGAGGAAATAGGAGTATAGAGCACCATTCTGGCTGCAGTTTGTTGGGAGTTCAGCATCAATGTCCAGTGCTTTGACCTCTGCATTTGTGGGCAGTTGCCATCGGAAGTTGCTCTATCATGCACAATATTTGTCATAACGACAACATGCTTTCTAGGGAACGAAAAGAAAGTGTGAAGTGGGCCGTATTTGTAACTAAGAATAATTATTTTTCTAGTTCAGGTTATAAATGAATCTTAGGGGGCACAGCAAGTGATGTCCTTTATTTTTGTAAGCCAGAGGAAAAACTCAGTTTGTGTGTAGGTTACAGCTAAAGTTTGAAATGCAGACTACGTTAGGAGGTTACTTTTTGCATTAGCAGATGTGGATTACGCTGAATGCATGACATTGAACAAATCATTTTGGACTTCATCCAGCTAATGTTGGTATTCGACTCTCGGTGCTGGCTGAAGTAAGGTAGTTAACCAAGTGTGACACATCTTATGTTATTACAAAAAGTATTTTGCCATAAAAAACATTGGAAATAGTTGCATAAATTCAAGATTGTTTTCACAAACAGTTGAGAAAGCTAGAGCCTTGCCACTTCAAGTCAGAAATGCATAGCAAAACGTTAACTGGGCATATTCTTTGAGACGTCATAAGGTGAAGTGTAGGTTAGATGATATGTAAATAGAATCAACTGACCAAGTGACACTCAAAACTACACTAGCTTTAGAAATTTCCCACCAGAAGTGCAATTTCTGTTTATCACTATATCTGCTATTCCTCATTATCATAACGCACTTCACCTACACTAGCCACCTCATGTTGGCTAATGTCAACTTCATCTGGCTAAAAGTATGTCTGAAGCATTTTGCAAAGCTGGTCCTCCTTCAAACTTTATTCATACATTTTGAATAATGTAAACAGAATTGGCAGATTCGTGAATTAGTTAAATTCGGTCTTTAAGTATGTTCAGATCATGTTTGTTTTGGTGGACATGCTTAAGATCCTAATTTGGGATGTATGAAATGAGGGTTATGATTATAGGGACCCAAACCCTTCTTCAACACTACTGCTTGCATCTGTTAATTTTGTTTCCTTCCTAAGATCTTTATTTTATAACATGTCCTGGACTATTACACCAGGCATTTTTCTTGCCTTCTTCCTTTCCCAAATTCTCAATTTATACTTATTTTTGCAATGTGTCAAAACTCTCCAGGGAAGAAAAGGAAGTATGAATGAAACCAAAACCATTTTCATTCATTCCTTCAGTTGGTCGTGGTAAAACATAATTATTAATGGATGTATAAAAGTACTATTTCATGGGACAATTCAAATTTTATCCAGAATAATTTATGGAAGGGGAAGGGCTTCTTGACTATGCTCAAATTATGGTTTAATTTAAATAATATTCTGCATCTTTTGACAGGTAATTCCTTTTCCACTCGAAGAAGAAGTCAAGGAGCACACAGCTTTACCAAGTGTACTTTTCCCTTCAGATCACATAGCTCTGATATGCGATCTAAAACTGGAAAAAGTGGGACACAAAGAATAGTATTTTGATGCTAATGAATTTACTCTTTGTTGTCTAATTTACGTGTATATTAAAATAATTTACTGTAAAAAAGGTGTATAAAATTTGTAATTTTAATTTATTTAGAAATATTAAAACTGGGAACCCATTTTCTTTCCAAATACTGGTTGCATCATTTTCCCCCATCAAAATTTCAAGAATAACTGATTCACATAAATATGATTAACAATAGTCTTATTGTTACGGAAGGTACAATTTTTCCAGTATTCAACTCATATAGTCAACCTTGCCACTTGCCAGAATACCAGCAGAAAATGCCTAGAACCATTCATCAGTCCTCAGTCAAAGTGAAAATCACAAGATCTCCAGTGTTGCCACTCAATGAGGCACGTACCACAGCACTAGCTATTACACTTTTCGATGGGAAGGATCGCAGCCTCCTTTAATAGTATTGATTTAATGACGTCATGCCTGCAACTTTCCCCACATCGCCCATAACAATGGCTGCCTTCCAGGAGTGGTGAGCCCCATAAACATGTGCTGCCATGATGAGCACACACCAGGTTTAAAATACCCGGACACGTCTTTAACAAAACAGTATGTGCCTGCTTAGGTTTGCCATACATCCTGAAAAGGCAGGATGTGTCCTGAATATTGGCATGTATCCCGCTGTCCCATCAGATACACATAGATCCTCACAGCTCTACAAAAACTGCGTTTTGGGACTACTTTTGAACTACAGAACTAGGCACTACCTAAATGAATATTAGTGTCTAATTCTTTGTTAAGCAAATATTGATATAAATAGATTAAGAAAAGAAAGGTACTGTGTGTTTTTTTAGTTGAAGTGAATCTGTCCCTCTCACAATGTGCTTTTGTGTTGGAGAATCTGGAATGCAAAGGGGAAAAGGGCTCAGTCAATAAGTTTTCATATAGAAGTCACACTTTATTTAATATTTCATTTAAATACCCAGAAATACTTCACAAATTTTGTCATGAAAAAATAAGTAAATGTCATGCCTGGAAAAGTCAGTGAAATTCACCATAGAAAAACAGTGGTCATCTGTTATTTTGGAGAGTGAGTAATGAAATTTATCTTTATTTGCTTTTTACTTGTTTAGTTTTGTGCTGTACAATTTATTTGATATAATATTTACTTGTATAAAAAAATAAACTAATTGCACTGAAATATATTTAGGAATGTGCTGAATTCTATTGTTATCCTTATGGCAACCCTATGACGGCTGAAGTAAAATTAAACGTTGAAAGTGTAATTTCTGCAGTCGGAATCAGACGATACATGGTTGTCCAGGAGACGTCACAACTTACAGTATTATTACCGGCGGTGTATAAGTGACTGACAGTTCGCTCGCCACATGTGCGTCATGTGACCTGCTCTGAAGCAATCAGCTTGCGAGGATTTGTTTACTTTCTTACAACCAGGGTTCAGCGTTGCCGCCCATCTGATTCACGAAGTCGTGGAGGCGATAAGGTTTGGTTTTGACGAAAGTTATGAAAATGGTATTAAGACACATCATTACACAGCCTGTCAGTGTTACTTTTTTGAAATTTAATTAACACAGGAAGATTTTTTCACAAACTGTCATTTGTCATGTCATAAAGTACATTTATCACAGTCACTATACTCTACTCTACGAATGAAAGAACTAAATGTGAAGAAAAAATCTCTATCCATTTAGTAGTTGTAGGAAGGTACTGGACAATAAAAATTCAATCTTCAATATTGTAGTTTTGTTTTTCTTTGCAATTTTCGAAAAAAACAAGCAATACCTCAAAAAATGGAACTAGCACCCTATTTCTTACCATCCCTTATTACATAAGTGGAAAAATTTAGAGAGGCTTTTGGGGGGAAAAATTCGTTAATGTCCCCAAAACTACTTGTCTTTTCAGCAAATTACACATGACCTTTTTTAAAGACCTAATTCAGTACAGCAGACTTTGTCTGAGGATTAAATTTCTAGTTTCAATTTTGTAGTTTTATTTTATTTTTATTATTATTATTTTTCAATTTTCACAAAATTGGGGATTTCAATGAACATGAGACATGTACCATTCTTTTAAACATCCTTTGCACTCACTTTTTGTGGAATCGATGTCAATTACATGTAGTTGAATTCACTGTTTTTGGTATAGATTTAAATATTTTTACAAAAAGTTGTTTTCAACACACAACAGTACATCCTATTAAGTTAAATTTAAGTGTAATTTTATTTTTCTGTAAAAATGGTATTTGCACAAAATACATTTGAAACATTAGTATGCGCAAAATGGTAAGATTTCTAAGAGGTGGGATTAGAAGGGGGGGGGGGAAATCTATTTTGAAACCTAGAACTTAAAAATAGTAATGTTTTGTGAGAGTGCGATTTGACGTGGAATGACTTGTGTACTGGGGGACCAATACCTTCCCCCCAGTTTATTTTTGTTGTTGAAATTTTTACTAAACTTATTGAAAAAAATTACCAGAAATAGGTCCTTTACATCCAAAGCAGTTTTGCTATTATAAATAAAATCTTTTTCAATTCTACGTATACAATTAAACAATTATTGGGATCAACTGAAATTTCCCTCCACTGATGTCTATTCTAAGATGCCTGACTATGAGGAAAGGGTGGGTGGACAAATGTAATCTGAAAACTATATGGGATTATGAAAATAAGGTAATGATGCAAATAAAGACAGGAGAAATAAACACAATAGAATTATTTCATAATTTTCAAGAAATGAAAATTATTCTTTAAAAAATGTTCTCTATGAATTCTAGGGATAAAAAATTCAAGAAAAATATGCTTTACACATAATCAAATATCAATATATTTCAATGCTTCAAAAATAGTAAAATTTTTAAAACAAAAGAAAATAAACTCACCATAAAGAGTGTGCCAGCAAAATGTTCAAGGACACCTATCAAAATGGGACAATCAACAAGTCCTCCAACCTACAGATTTTAGTAAACTGAAAGTACAATAGAAAAGTAACGAATTGATAAAAACCTGAGGCCAGAAACTAAATCCAATCAAATTGTTTAAAAGTTTTTGTCATTTTATATAAACTTCGTTTAACAATTAATCTTAGAACAATGGTTCGAGTGAGATTTCTGAAATTTGTTATGAAAACAGGTACACCAACCACTACAAATTTTTACATTTTCAGAATAATTTGTTTTAAAATTATTTAAAGGGGTTGACTACATCTAAATTTTGAGAAATATTCTAAGAAGTTTAGCCCCGTCCATTTTTCCGAATTCTCTTTAATTAAATTACAAACTTAACGTTCCTTTAAAGCCACATAACTAACAGAACTATTTTCATTTTTTAAATTCAAATCCCTTTCTCTTAGTTCTCGAGAGCATTAATAGAAAAAGTCTTTCATTCGACTCGTAACCCAAATAGTAAATCATAGTAAAATTTAGTGAATGTGACAAGTGTCTTATACCTCCGACCCACAGAAATATAAACCCAACCATTTCCCACATTGTTTTCTCTTGAATTGCAATATAAATAATACAATATGCTAAACAATTGTGTTTTGAAATAAACACTCTGGCTGGTTTATTTCAGTATGTTCTACATTTATACTTGCACATTAAATTTCAAATATTTTTGAAGTTGTTTAACGTTCTTTCTTCAGACTTCTTGTTAGCAGACTCACACCTGACAGACAAATTTTTGATCCCAATTGCTGATTATTGCAAGATTTCACTATTCACGAGACAACTTTCAATAACTACTTACAAACAAGATCAACGATTATAAACACATACTCGCAGCAATGTACGAAAACCACCAAACCTGATTGTAGTTGATATCTACACTCAAGATGTTCATGTTCATAAATCCGCTGGATTTTGTGGATGTGCAGTCTCCGCCAAAGGTAAAACAGACAAAACTTTAAAGAGAGATTAATTCTTTAGTTAACTTCAGTTGTATTTTATTTACTTCAGGGACAGAAATTAAAACAATATTTTCAAAATGCTTTTATTTTAAAATTCTGTATAAAAGTAGATATTGTGCATAACTAAAGCACAATAAAAAAACATGAACTTTCAAAAATACAATACTGAATATCAATACAAGCTACGTATCTAATACACCTCAACTAGTTCGCCTCTGCAAGTAACACAAAAAGTCAACTTACGAATATGAATAAATGAAGCAGGTACAATGTAATAAAAACTAAGATTCAGTCTGCATAAAGGTAATGAATAATTATTGTAATACTAGAAAAACAAAAATAAACAAAGAAATTATGATGATAAATATGTTTACTTCACAAAAACGAGAAGGAAAAGTATGTTTTGCTTGGTACCTATAATTTCTTACAAAGAACATTAATTTTGAATGTTTGAAGAAAAAGGTAAAGAAGAAGAAACAAGAGCAAATATACTAACATTGGTTCAAAATGAGTTATGTACCACATATTTTTTCCATTTCAATCATGACAATTTCTTTTAGAAGAATTAACACAAACCAAATGTTTATGCAAAATTCAGTTCTGAACACTAATAATTGATCACATAAAAACACAAAACTCAAGAAAACATCATTTTCCCAAAAATCAAAACTAACAAATTAGACATGTTCTTAATAACTGGATTAATCAGATGAGCTGAGTTATCACAAAAAGAAAATCCACATTTTCTCTTATATTGTTTATAAGAGTTTCTCTACTACCCCCTACATTATTAGATCAACATCACAGGTAAACTTTGAATACTCTTTATTATCACAATATCGTTTAAAAGTCTACTCAAAGTACTTTTAGACGGATAAATGATTAAAGTTTTTAAAAGAATTTTTGAAATTTTCATCAGACATCTTCATAGTACTACATGTATGCATTATACAGTGTAATTAATGCACAATTTAAGCATCACAATTTAAGTTTTGAATAACTGTAATAAGAATAGTGATATCCTGTTTATAGTACTGGAATTATCTTATATTGACAGTGTACTACCAATAGTGTTACACACACACTTATAACAAACAAAAAATGCTTTTTTTAATATTTCTTGAAAAAGTTTGTAAATCACAGAACGAAAATGAAAACAATAATATACAGGTACAACTCTAGTAAACTTCAGCACCTTTTAAACATTTGATGTGCAACTGAGTTGCAATTCAGTTTAGTACATTTACCGGAGACGTCCACGTCCCCTCGGTACGTCTGGGTGGGCCTTTCCTCTTCTTTGTAACCCAGGAGGCTCCACCAACACACTTTCTGCCGAAACTGCCAGAGCAGGAATTACATTCACCTATGCAAACCGTAAGTAATTACAATCACATTGTAACACTGTTGAGGACTACAGTAGAGATTAAATTGTGTCTCATAGCATGCTGCTGATTCTCCAGCTAAAACAACTGTCAACATCATCATCAAATCCACGCATTCACTAACAACAGGCCTTCAAGGTTAAACACTAAAGCACAGACACATAAGATAGACAGACACCCAATAATCAGAAAATGTAAAAAATAAATTTTTTTCCTAAAATCAAAAATTTTAATCAAGACAACAGTCCAGGAATAAAATTGACGCCCTCATCAGGACAATCAAGTTGCGATCCTTTATTCAAAAACTTTTGAACTTTTAATGTTAAGAGTCATGGTTAACTTTACAACTAAGTCCAAAACATGTTAATGTCACTAGCAGCACGATCACTACTTACAAAGAAAGTCATTCTAAATGTAATCAACAGTGCCAGCAACTATGAATATACAATCGCTTCCTAGAAAAAATTCCAAATACTTGCAGAAAATAGAAGCACACACTGGCGTTTGTCCTGCAACCACCCTAATGATATTAAAAAGTGTATTCTAGGTGCCAACAAATGTCCAAAAGACGTTTAATGCCCATGAAAGACGATAATTGTAGAAGGACGTATGACATCCATCCATAGGACACAGCAGTAAAATGATGATGTATCAGACATTCGTAGGATCAAATGCGTAAACAAAGCAGCAACTAGTCTTATTAGTTTAGTGATATGTATTTCTTCCAAGAACAACTTAAATGTGAAGAGGTTCATAAAATGTTATGAAATGAAAGCATTTAACACCCAAGCCTTGTTTTCTGTTAATGACTTGCATCTGGAGTCATTTCTGCTATTTATTTGTAAAATTTACATAATAGTTAACATTACCACACACAAGTTATGCCTAGGTGGGAACGGTATGTACTGCTTATTTGTTTATATATGAACCACCTGTAATACAAATAAAAACAAAACAAAAATAATTCAATAAACAAATACATGAAATTAAAAAAATCATTTTTTTAAACCCCTAGTGAAGAAAGTTCAACTATGCTAGAAAAATATTGGTTAAACATTTCAATTCAACATTCAGAAGCAAAAGTACTTTAAAACGTACAAAAATTAATATTATAGTCTCAAGAAGTAATTGAAAGTCTTGTTCTGTGTCATGCAACATGCAATGTCAGAACCCTGCACATACAATTTTTTGAATTATTGCAATGAATTAAAAGAATGAAAAATTTTAACTAAAGAAAAGAAACAAATATTGCCAGGTTCAATTTTTCAGAACAATTCACGATGGAAAAAATGTATTGTTGATTCTCTCAATAACATACCAAGTGAAAAACACCACACATGTGAGAACATAATACAATAACGCGCATAATTTATTCTGTTTTGCTTCAAAATTTACTGTTACCATTACAGATAGATTTCCCTTTTCCTTTTGGTAGGGTTTAGGTTCTGATTTTACCTGACATCCTTCCCAACTGTCATCTAGGGGCACTGGAGAAACCTACCAGTCTTGCATGGTTACCACCACTCTCCTGGGATATGATCCCCGTGGGCTCACACTCCCCACACATCACCACTGAGGTAGCCCCCCTGGACCTATCTTGGATCATCATCAATGCAGCTGTAGGGAGCTAATTTCTCCTTCACACATTCACACACAGATTACGAACACAGTTACTGGTTAGGACAAGGGATTACGGTGGGCAAGTATGCAATAGGTACTGGAAATAAACACAACCAACGGATCAAGTAGGCTGTCCAACCCAGACACGAAGGGCCTCATACGCAAGTCCCTTTGCCACTTGGGACAATCGAGAATGAGAGAATACGATACAGAAGGTGATGAACAAGGGGCAGGAAAGTCAATCAACCACCAACACAAAAATGAAAACGTCGATTTCTAAGCAGGACATGAACCTAAAACCACACGTAACATGCTCACATCAACTTTTGCCATTCAGGAAATGGCCTGCTACCATTTACAAAAAAAAATTATAATGTTGATCAAAATTCTTACTGATTAATCCAATTGAAGTGCCCATTGGGCACTCCTCTGAAAAAAAAAAGGGGTTTCCAAACCAGGGACAAAGACAAAGGAGGGAAAAGGGTTTGACGAAAATTGAATGCTCTCACTTCTAAGTGTGTAAGCATGAAATGGAATAATTATTTTTGGGAAGATGTTTTACCTTGTTTCAAAGGGAGGTGAGGGGTTAAAGAGCAAAATTTTGCCAAAATATTTTTGAATTTCCTTAATGGGGAGCAAAGAGAGATTTGTAAGAGCACCATCAGAAACAGTTCCCATCGAATTGCAGAACTACAATTCCTAGAGCATTCCGTAATATGCTTCAATAAAACCTGAATTTTTCAATATCCCACATTTTATTATAAAATTTGGAATAAAGACTTTTTGTTCATTTTTTTATGCGAAAACAACTTGAGTCCTAATATTTTTTGATGATGCTGTTGTTGCTTATTTTATATGTTTACGCCATTTGATTCCTGATCAAATGAAAAAGTCCACAACATAAAACATGAGATATCCTCAACGAATGCAAAAGCAAGCCTATCCTTAAATGTTTTAGTCCTTCCCAAACAATTTCAAAATTTCTTCCATTTTTCATTGATTCCCTAGTAACTCTTGAGAAAATTCTATTTCCATGTGTGATAAATGTCTTGTGGTCTTACTTCTAAAATTCTAGCTCTTCAGAGGCCCTAAAATGTCAGAAGATGACCTAAGATGGGGAAGAAACAAGGATGAAAGAAGCAATGATAAGTTTTTAAGGATCGCCCAATGGACATTAATATAAGTTTGTACCTTTTTGTATTCATAAGTCTGTTTTGTTCCTGGTAATACCACTGCATGATTATTCATTTCTACTTATTCATGATAATGGTAGATTGATGATAATAGTAGAATGAAGATGATAGTGACAATAATGATGATTTTATGGAAAACATAAATGAAGACCTAGCCTTTCTAGCTTTCTCAACAAGACAGTTTTCTAGTCAATAAGACAATTTGTATTTCATTGTAACTAGAGGTATAATTAGATTTAAAAACAAAACATTACTCAGGAAGTCTCTTCAAAATTAGGGGGCTGTGTTACTTTCACAGTCGTCCTTTAATCAGGATTGCACCGTAGTCCTCAATACTATAGTGCCTGCTACAAAAATAAGAATTATTATCCATGAAGTAGTCTGTTGCAATGAACTCTGTTTAAATGAACTCTGTTTATCTATTGAGCAATACATAAAAAACCACAAAAATTAAAAAATATATTCTTTCTTTAGAATGGCACTTCTGTTTAGTTTGACATTTTTTAGGTTCCATTATATTCCAAAATATCTACAAAAGCTACTTTACAATTTTAAGTGTACATTGTAATAATAATAATAATAATAATAATAATAATAATAATAATAATAATAAAAAACTCATCATCATGGGTAAAGACTCTTGTCTTGTTCCGTCTTCCAGAGTATTCTTCCATCGCCTTTTTGACTTGTTCCTTCTACACCTCCCATTCGGGTTGGAGTTGAGGAGGCCTTTTGGCATTCGATCTTCTTTCATTCTCCTTAAGACTAAATGTACCGACACTAGTGCAATGTGTCGCCACCACATAGCAACAACAAAATAAGTCAAAATTACTTTTCTAATAACGTCTGAACAAGTGGTACAATTTTCAATCAGTAAACAAAATTTGATTTGTTATTAATACAGAATTTACGCTACAAAGCCCCGTTTGAAAAAAAAAAGGTTTTGAAAATTTCTTACGAATAGTTCCGGGAAGTAATAAAAAATGTGGGCTTTTAGCATAATAGCGGAGTGCTTCCCATGACACACTGCCGCTATGTGTGCTATGTATGGGGGAGCTGGCTCCTAGGAGCATGGATGCACTCCATAAGAAGTAGGAGGAGCAGGCAGGGAGCAAGGCAGGCAAGCAGGCGGTTCTCTTGTGGCCCAACTGCGATTCATCAGATAATGCTTTCGTTATTTCCCTCATCACAACATTAGTTTTACATTCTCATTTACGTACATATATCTGACTAATATAAGTAGTATAGAGAAATTTATGTAACGTTACAAAAAATTGAAACCAATATTTCAACAAAAAGCAAGTTTTGGGATCCTTTGATACTGAAAAAGTGTCGTTTATTTTTTCTTTCAAAACGTCTGACCGTCTGTCTGCCTATCTGCGAACAACACTAGTGCCGAAGCTACAAGTATTCATAGAATTTTATGGAAAATGAATATTCACTAGTCGATCAGGCCTGTCTTGAAGCTATACAAGTTCGAAAAAGATTGTTGAAAATTTGAGATGACTTTAAATGATGCCCCTGGGACATCTTTTATATTTTCTCAAAAATGGTTCCAAATTCATTGTAATAGATATTGAAATATGCTTCTCAAGATAGCACAAGTCTGATGTTTACAACTAACTTTGATTTTGTGAAGGTTACAAAGTTTGAATGTTTCTGGGCGTCTCCTCTCAACTACAATATTGAAGATCGACATTTTTCCTTCACATAAAATTTGTTCTCCCTAATTAGTTCTTTCATTGATGTCATGCACATTTCTTTTAAAATTTTAGTAGTTTTAGTGTAATATTGTGTGAAATATGGGTATCACAAAAAATATTGTAAATGCTTTAATGAAAAAAATATATTCCAAAAACTGCTCCAAATTTTTTTTCAAACTTTTGGTATGGATGTTACTAATTGTCCTGAGTAAGATGACACAAACGTAGTATTGCTCTATTCTTTTGTTGTTTTTTCAAAACCTACATATTTTTACTTTTCAATCGTATTCTTAAAGTCAGGTTTTGGTTCTATCATTAAGCAATCGAAAAATAGAAAAAATGTGAAAAAATAATCTTTAGGTGGCAGCTGGGAAAAGGGCTGAATAAAACCGAAAATATAGCCCAGAGCAAAGCAATTAGGAACCAATCTACTTTGAAAAATTCTGTGCCATTCTGATGCATCACTAGTTTCTTTTATTTTATTTTTCAATTCACACTGCTTGTTTTATAATTAGGGCAGACGTTCTCGTATCCTCTGTAACTGATGTAGACGACTCAATTTATCTTGAAAAACTGTGCGATTCCAAATAATTTCGATTTTTACGATCATCCTTCGAACAAGTACCGGGAGCGACTTGCGGGGTACCAGAGGCAACTTAGTGGGTCAAGAATAATTAGTAGCAGCCATGCGAGGAGGAGCAGGATCAGTATTAGTGAACTTGGTAATGGCATTCGCAGCGTTGTCTACTTGCAAGCCACTGTTTCAGGCCCGCATTGGAATTGGAATTCCCAGACCTCCTCACGAGGTCTGTAAAATAAGCATAGCTATGTTTTAAAAAAATTGGAATGAAACTCAAAATTTGCCACTTTTTTGTTGCTAGTTTGTTATGCACAACAATTGTCACCCTTCATTTGACCCTGCAATTACCAGAAAACCAAGAAATTACAGAGATAAATAAGAATATAATTATACAGGCATCTGTCACTTTTTTGTTACTCAGTATTTTTTTTTAAATGGCTCCAAATTTTTCAAAGAAAATTGCCATTTAGGATGCGGTTTTACTGTGTTTTAATAATCTTAAAATACTATTTCCGCAATACAATTAGGAAACAAAATTTTTTTAAATGTCATAAAAAATCTTTGGCGGTGATAGATGGCAGCAGGCAAGAACATGTGGCAAGTTTGAATAGCTAACTGAGCCCAGAAGAGATACAAAACTAATACGTGGAAGTCTGCCATTCTGTAGCACCACTAGTTCAACACTGTTACCATTAATTACTACTTTACAACTTAAATAATGTTGACCCTGATATTTCATGATTTTGTTTATGAAATTTGTAATTTATAATTTTTGCCTATTCTCTGACGTTCATAGGCTGTTATTTGGAAATTATTGTCTGAAGTACTAAAAATTATCTACTCATCTGTGAATAAAATTTTATCTAAAAGTTTGTTATTCACTTTAAAATAGTATTTTACATTTTCTTGCCACTCGCTTATGGTATTTCATTTATATATTCTTGCCATTTATTTATGGTATCAATATAAATTCTAAGAAGAGTTGGAGACAGATGACATCCCTGTTTGGCTCACGACTTCAATCCAGTGTTCCATTGTTTCCTTGTCCATACATATTTGGGTTTCTGAATATATGCTTCAGATTATACTTATGTGAATTGTGTATCCATTTAATCTCATTACATACCGTACTTACAGTATGTACAAAAGCAGATTGTATTCCTGTTATTTTCTAATTTGTTGTCAATCAAATGCACAATCTGAGCATGAATGCCCTTTACAAAATCCATTTTGTGTTTCTGACAAAAGCATATTGCTGATTTTATTAAGCCTTCTTGCAATGATTTTAGTATAGATCTTGTATGCAGTATATACGGCACTAATTCTTCTAATTGTTACAGACACACACAGTTCCTCGCTTGAATATTTGATGGAATGTCCCTTCTTCCATTTATAGGTTTAATAGGTATTCCACTAGGCATTTAGTATAGAGGCATTTACATAGCATAGATGCATTAAGTATGGACCGGTAGCTTATTTTAATATCTTGAGGCACATATTGAAATAGTTCCATATATTTTATTTTTTCTATCTAATGTGTTTAGCACTTCCTCCAGTTTCCTGTACTCCATTGGGTCCACATGAGCAAACCCTCCTGGGCTGCAGGTTGGGAGGCAGTGAGGTAGCATTAATCGTCCTCTGCAGGATGCTGATAATGCAACCAGGGGAAATGTAAATTACCGATAATCTTCATGAGAATAGACAGACTGATAACATTAAAACAACCACTAATAAGAATAAAGTGAAACGTAAATTTGCAATTGCGGAAAGGTTGAAGATTGTCACCCGGAATGTAGGAGGCTTGACTCATCAAGAGACTCAAACTAATACTCCATAAAAATCAATTTATGTTTGTTTGCATTTTATGCACTGCTGTCCCGTTCAATTGATTGTGATAAAATTTGTCAACTTATTGTTGCATCTGCGTGAAGAATATAGGCATTGTACAATGGGAATGTAAGTATGTCTGTCCCACAGAAGCATGTTGATGATGATTTTATGTGATTATGCTGACTCAAGCACTCCTGACCACAAGCTCTATGCAACCCACTGCACCCTAAGTATTAAGCAAGTTTTCACTGCATATTCTGCCCTTACGATTATGAAATATTGGCTGGAATTATTACATGAACGTTATCTCAGACAAGTAAATCAAATTATTCCAAGACGGTATCATAGTGCATCATACGGTATCATAGTATCATCAATGCATGCCCAAATTCCGGGAGGTTTTAGCAATAGGATACTTGACAACAGTGTCCAAACCAGTACAAAACAAACTCTCACTAGACAGAAACTCTTGTGACTGAAGTGTAACACTTTGCAATAGCGAAGCATTGCTGGGTCCATTACTTAATGATACTAATAATAACATTAACAACAACAAGGAGTAGTTTATAAAAGATTCACTCTGCATATATCTCCATCTTACAGATGATGAATCTAGAAACTCTCCTCCAACGTAAGTTTTATTTATGCAGACAAACTAGAAATATTTAAAGTTTTTTTCAAACCTCCAACAAGCTTAAATTTAACACACATTTTATGACACACAAAACCTTTTAGTAATTAAATTATACAGAATCATTGAAAATTGTCAGTAATCAACAGTAACATCAATGGTAATGTTAAATTTATGATCAGTTTAACTTTGGCATCTTATGAAAAATTATCAGCTAAATAAATAAATATATAAATAATGGGCGCTTCATCAACATGCTAGGTTTTCTGTGTTTTCCATTCCAATCTTTACTTCAATTCAACACTCATTCTTTACATCAAATATCCTCCATCATTTTAATCATAACAACCATTATAATTGTTGTGTTAACCCTTAAACTGCTATTGACTGGCCGTTTGTAGGTCACACGTATTGCATCATGCTTCTCGCTGTGGGCTCCATTGTGAACTGCTCCGTTGGGCTACATAGATATCGCGCAAGTCATCTCAGTAATCAATAAGTCCTATTATTTGCCTAAAGTGAGGCACACAAGAACTTGTCCTGAGGCTCCTAGGGCATCGTGGTTCCGTGTACTCTCTCTCGTCCAGAGGCTCCCAGCATCCATCTTACTGAACATAATAACTTGTCCATAGACTACCATGCACAGAAATATATTGCGTTTCAAATTGTCTAGAGCAGTCAAAGGGTTAAACAACCATTGATTCCAACCAAGAGCATGATTTTTTAACTCAACCCATTTTGCTACCTCTGCAGAACTTGACATTTCATTCAAGAAATTAGCGTATTGACTGCACAGTACTGTACAAGAATTGTAGCAGCCACATATTTGAGTTCAAACACTTATTCACAGGCAAAGCTGAATGTTGTGCTTGCACCACCTGCTCATGCCACGTCTTAATCATGCAAAGCATAGGGATTAAGAGGGTAGCTCTGTCTCTGACACATGCATGTTCATTTGACTTGCATTATCAGGCTAAAAAACATGTGTCGTTTGCTGACTAGCCAACACACCTGAGGGGGTGGCACAGCTGGATTGAAGTCTGACAAGTCAACCTTGCCTTTATCAGATACCTGAGCATTCACGGTGGACTGTTTCAGCCCCGTCAGTGGCACTGGATGATGGGCAACCTTTAGAGGTCCTGCTTCAGCATAACCAAACACATGTCCAGAACCTGTGGAACTCTCGGCAGCATCTGCGAAAGAATAAAACCAAAAGGTCAATTCAAAACATACAGGTTTGATCTGCAAGAAAATTACAACTATCCTGTTTCTCTAGTATGTCCAGGTGATCTTTGTTTATGTTTTCATCAAAGGCACACCTAAAATAATAACTAACTACAAAATTTAAATCTCTATGTTGCAGATACAAAAATTGAACACTTCAAAAATATTTAAACTTAATTCTGGAAATATGCAAGTGTTCTATTCTTGGAAGTAGTGAACAAATGTCATTGGTCTCAATTCACATACATTACAATTAAACAACAGGTGATATGGTTATCTGATATGAATTTCTATATCAGCTGCAGAGAACACACAAAATTGACCACTTTGATATTAATTGGACCTTGAGCCATTTGAAATTGCAAGCTCTGGGAAGAAAAGTCTGGAAAAATGGCATCTAACTACATCTTTCAAACCTATAAAACATACTGAAATCGAGTCTTTCAGTTAACATTTCAAATACAAAGGCATATTTTGGGGGTCATCCATTACGATTGAAACCGTCCAACATAAATTTCTCACCTACCTGGCATGAAACTTCAAATGGAATCCCCCAGAATATCTCATAATCATGTAGCTAATTATGTAAATATTAGGACTTTATATTCATATAGACAATTCATTGATTTCTTGTTTTTTGTAAGCTGCTAAATAATGAAATTAATTATCCCACGTTATTATCAAAAATCAACTGGAAAATTCCATAGCGAAGTACTACAATTAATGATAAAATCACTTTTTTGTACCTATTGGTAAATCTAAATTAGGCATACACTCTCCATTATGGCACTTGAGTAAAATGGCTAGTAGATGTGAAACTAATTTATTTTTTATGTCCGAAATTACCTATATTAGATTTGCTAAAATTAAGTATTTAAATGTATTTAATTGATATTACAACTACACATTTTGTACTATTTTGTATTTTGGGTGATTTGCTGTTTAATGAATAAATAAATAAATTACGTCATTAAGCCATAGAACAATGAAAATTTAGGCTGTGCTCTCTGAAGAAGGCATGGCACAGATATTATTTGCATCTAACCATTCGCTGCTTCATTTGTCTTCAGAATGTTTTTAAGCCCTTCCAACATCAAATTCAAAATGTCACCTGACTCGAAAAAGGCATGTATCATCTGTAAACTAGATGTACAACTTTTTATTAGATCTTAGCAAGATATTTCAACTTGTAGTGAGCAGTAGGGTGTGGGTTGATACACAAGCCCTGGCAATTGCCATGAACTTTGCCTTCGCATGTTATACTTTCAAAAATGGTTTAGAAATATCTTAACAACCATATTCACACAGGGGACAATTTAACTTGGTAGGAGTAATTTTTATTAAATTTTAATTAAGGTTTAACTGACAGACGACACTTAAAAATTATAAGAACAATTAAAAAAAACAAAAAAGGAATAAGGTTCATCAGAAGAGATCAGAGCTTCCTCAGTTCACCGTAAAAGGATACGGGAAGAATGGGGGAGACACTATGCCTTCTACACACGCATTGACAGCTTCTCTTCTAGTGAAATACACTCGACAAAAGGTGTAGGATGTACAAAGGCGTTGGGCAATAGGCAAAGTTTCTATAAAAACATTGTTTTGAAATGATGGACATTGATTTGCATCCCTGGCCAATCAAATGGTGGAGTCGTTCGTACGGAGCATCAGATGCTCATGTTTCATGGTTGAGCGAATTTTGTTTGTGATGTCATGGCGAGCAAAACACTGTACTACTGGTCTGATATCTAGCGGATGTTTTGTGAACTTCTTCAGCACTTGTGAGCTTCTTCAAATCAAAATTGCCTAGTGCAGGACTATTACATTAACTGTTGTCATACCTGAAAACTGGGCTAGACCAGGGACATTATTCCTTCCAGGCGATAAATCATTACGGATTTCATTGGGTACAAGTGGCAATCCCTGGGCGAGACGAGATTCATCAGCAGGACTTATGATCCAATCACCCTGAGCAACAAAGAATACATAGATAAATTACTGAAATTATGTGTATAGCATATAGTGGGCATGTATAAACTATATTCAGATCTGATATACTACATATCAGAGCTGAATGAAATTTCAATTTACATCAATCTTGACAAAGAGTTTGAAATATTTTAATTACTAACTTATTTTTTAATCCACCAGATAGGCTGCACCTAGAATTGTAGTTGAGGTAATAACAAAATGTAGTAATAAATAAAGAAATAAACTACAGAAAGAAGAAAAAAACATTAAGCTTTGAATTCACAATAAAAAAATATTAATTTATAAAAGTACTCATAATTTGACCCTTGACTTTTAAAAGGCACATTGGAAAGGACATTACAAAACGATATTAAATATCTTCTTGCTCAGTAGCATTTCAAATCTTCATTATTCAATAGAAATCTAGTTCTAAGAAATGTCTGCAATATGTGTCATGAAAAGTTTGTTAATTTGAAATTTATATTTGTTAATACTAAATGTTAATTTTTCTTCCAAAGTTCTGCTTACCTCGTACTGTGGAGGAATCTTTCCCACAGGAGGACAGACTGGCCAGCTGATACCTGGGATACCAGCAGCCATAAAAGGAACAGGTACTTGGTGGATTGGCAAAGGAGGACGCATCCCCGGCACCATGCCCGCCAAGTGCATCATCTGCTGCCAAACAAACCACAGAATTTTTTAGAAAGGGTGCATTTGAGAAAATATTAAAAATGAATCATTTTTAAAATTACTTTATCATTAAACTACTAAACAATTGGATTTAATACCCCTTTTCACTTGAATTCAATAATTTTCAGATACCAAAAAACAGATTAATCTGTGTTGAAATACATAGTATAGAGAGGTAATAAGTCACTTAATTATCTATAGAAGTGCATGGGATACTTTTATAAATTAACCCTCCAAGGAGGAGTGTAATGAAAACATCACAGCAAACACATCTGAACTTGTCAACACCCACTCCTCACGCAGGCATTATTTGGCTGTTACAATGAAGTATTTGGCCTCACGATGTTTCCAAGAAGCTCGTTGAACATCATTCATACGTGAGTTTTATCTTCACCGACCTCATTTGAAAACGAACTGCAGTGTGGTAAATAGAATTCAAGTACAAATACTGTTTTGTTTATGCTGGAATTCTGTGATGTTGCTTCAAAATAGAAGTTAATTTACAGTGTATTAGCAGATAGTATTTAAAAATATATTTTTTCTTTAATTTCAAGACTGGTGAGCGAGGATGTTATGCTAGTATTTTCTACTATCTTGTTTATAGTTTCATAGCCAATCTACATTTTGACTTAGAAATATTATTTTTACTTATTTAAAAAAATTATTTGTAGGTTTAAAAGTTCTTTCCTTTTTTTAAAAATAATTTAGAGATGATGAACATTTTGAAGATGGCGTTACGGTCAAAGGTGTGTTACAAATGTTGAATGCAAGCCAGGGTGAGGAGGAAGAAAATGGTTTTGAAGTAGTAGCTCCTCCTGAAGCAACGAGCGTTTTTGGAAAGAATTGATAAGAACATATTTGCTCCTGTGCAATAAAAACTATTTACCAACGAAAATGAGCTACATATTTTGAGTACACTCCTTATCATGCCTTACATGAAATGGATTTACTGCCATGAGTACATGGAGAATACTTCTTTTAATACAGTAGAACCCATCTTTTACACTTTTCAAAGGACCACAAAAAAATGGTGTAAATCATGGGAAAGTGAAAACAGACGGGAAACTCTTATGCACATGTAATAAAATACTGCAAATTTACAAAATTTACAAGCAAAAAGAGATCTCTTTCCACCACAAATGAACTCCACACAAGACCGGAATATTCATAGCCGACAAGATAAATTGCATTGCAAGAGAGAACATTGTGAGAGATAACAAAAATATGATGCAAAAAATGTCGTTCACTGATTTGCAATGGCTTCAAAAAGTGCAAAGGGCAGGAAAAATTTAATTTCGAAAGCGTAAAAGCGGGGATAATTTAACACTATAAACATAGTAAAATTGAAGGGACTGGAAAAAAATCGATGTAAACTGCAAAACATTAATTCTGGGAATGTAAAAGCAGGATTGTACTGTTAACTATATTCCCCACTCAGCATAAGAAAGCATAGTCAGCAACTAAGTCATGAAGTACTTCTTTGAAGAGGTTAGCTTTTAGAAGTGTGGACATGAAAGTATCACAGAGCTCAGAATGTGAAAGGACAGTTCACAAGTCACAATGTAAGTTTTGTAAACAATTGATAATAATATAAAAGGCAACTAAAACTGAACAATTATTTTTGATTTAGTTCATTTCAATTCTATATATAAAATGATCTCCAGAGGAGGGACTTATAAATCATTTTTTCTATACATTTTTAAGTTAAGACTGTTCTTAATGAAATATACTTTCAAAATAATACGTTTAAATTATATCATATTAGCAACTGAATCGAGCAACTACAGAATGCCAGCAGAAAGTCAACAGTAAGTCCAATATGAACTGAAAAAAGTTTGTAGAAACACAGAGTTCAGAATTGGTATCTGAATTCCACAAATGAAGCGGTTCCCAAAAGGTTTGTACTGACCTACGAATATGTTGTTAATAATTCTTACATAAATTGTCTCTTTCAAAACCATATTTCTTGAAGACATTTAATCATCAAGCAATTTCTGAAAACCGTTATATAAAGCAATGTTAGCTCTGGCATTGTAAATTATATTATACGTAATCTGTAACTAGTAAAATTGATTTCACAATGTATTTTTACCATTGAAATTAAATATGCAAATACAGAAAGGTTTGTTTGATTTAGCATGCCAGACATTACAAATCGTATTGCATTTTACTAAATACAATGCCATTCATTTGAAATTCTGTCTTAACCAGCCCATTAAAAAATAGGTCTAATTTACCTGGCTAATTCATGGTGGATACCATAATACGTTCACAAACATAATTAGGAATTATAGAAAAGTATTTAAAAAAATCCTAACAGACAAAGCTTAATCTGTGAATATGAAATGACTATATTTTTACAGAGAATGTTTAGGAAAGAATCAATTTATACTTGGATAAATGCAGTATTTAATGACACATTCAAAAAATTCAAATTAATCGAGTTTTAATAATTCAAAATTTGATGTTGTGCCTCAAGGTCGCTTCCGTCCAATTTTCATGCAAATGGAAATTTCAGGTTCTGGTCAACAATGCATGGCCTGTGTTTACTACCTGCTGTTGCTGTTGCTGCTGTTGCTGGAGAGCCTGCAAGTGAGCAAGCCACTCCACAGGAACAGAGCCCTCCAGTGCGGAGGCAGCGGAACTTGGGCAAGCAGGATACCCAATACCAGCACCCGAGGCCTGAAACAAACATCAATGAAAAATTCAATTGCCGTTATCTTTGATTCCAAATTATTAATTCATGTCAACTGACAGTCTTGAGGACACACAAAGAGACATCTCAAATTGCCCAATTAAAAAAACAAAAATAAAAACCACAGACTCAAGCCTCAAAGAACACTAGAAAACAATTTAAAGAAGAACAGAAACCAACCTGTTCCTGTTGCTGTTGTAATTGATGTTGATGTTGATGTTGCTGTTGCTGTTGCTGTTGCTGTTGCTGTTGCTGTTGCTGTTGCTGTTGCTGCTGCTGCTGCTGCTGCTGCTGTTGCTGTTGCTGTTGTAGAAGTTGTTGTTGCCGAATTAGATGTTGCTGCTGCAATGCTTTGATATGCGCAAACCATTGCATATGTGCTGGTGCTTCCGCCTCAGAAGCAGGATCGGCAGTAGCTTCGTTCACACCCTTCTGAATTGTGGAGTTAGGTGTCATTAGAATCTGACTTCTAAGCAGAGAGTTCACAGCTGCTGACAGCGGGTTTGCTCTGTAGGCAGCTGGAATCTCCCCGCTTTCAACAGGCCTCCCTCCACCAGAGCTCTCAACAGCCACACAGCCTGCTTTTGCGTCTCTTGCTGCAATGGCCTGTTGAGGGACAACATTTGTCGAGTTTGAGTCCCCACTGGAAGCTGCTTGGACAGTCCCAGATTCTGCACCAGGAGGCAAATTAATCTGCCACACAAACCACAAAATACTTCAGGTCATAAACACAACTGCACAACTACCGATGCAAATCAAAAGACACATGCAACTAAAACCCATTGGAAAAAAAAAACTAAATTCAAGGAAATAGTAAAACTCCAATTATACATTTTTCAAGTTTTTATGTCCCAGCTAAATTCCTATACTTTCCACTTATTTCAGATGTGTGTTTTATCTTTTTTTCATTTTTCACACTTCTTAGTAAATAATTAAAGTCCTAATTGTAAACCCCAACATAGATGACTGGTAAGTAAGAACAATTGTGTCATTCTCGAGAAGACCAAGGAATACACGTTTGCTAGGCAAGGCCTATCTAATCCTTTGGACAAACCACAGGGTGCAAGGACAATGACGCTAGGGCCCTCCAATGGCACTATGGCTTTGCATAAAACATCTGGCCTATTTGTAAAAATTACTTGGGAATCAAATGATATGGGTAATGACAGGATACTTGTCAGGTTTTTATAGTGAAAATTTATATTTTAGTTGCAGAGAAGAGCAAATGGTCTAAGATCAGACCACATCTCAAAAGTAAGAACTTTCTTTCTTGAAAATGTTATGTATTGAGTTAATTATATGCATATTATATGCACACAACAGAACTGTCAAAATATAGTTTTTATTTTGCACCTCGATTTTCTTCATTTTCAGTTATGCGTTTTTCTCATCTATACAACTCCCCTCCCCCCTTCAGTCCCCTGAAAAATGTATAAATGAAATTTTACTGCAGTTTATGTCACAACATAGGGTGGCCATTTCAGAGGCATATGAGGAAAGTACTCTTGACACAAGTTCTTCTAAATTTAATTAACAAACACAATTTTTGCTTTGGAATTTTAAAGGAAAATGTGTAATAATTTAGTTGATAGCTATGGAGTTTGATTGAGTTTTCAACTACCTACATTTTTAATCAAAGTGAAAACAATTGATATCACACTCACGAGTAACTCCCAGCTTTCCTTCCTGACCTAATTGATTGCAATTTATCAATTTGTTTGGGTTTTTTTGAATATGTCAATTTTGAATGAAATGCAAAACCACTGATGTAAGGAAAGGTCTTTGCCTGTCACAACTAAATATTAAATGTGATGAAACAAAGCTCTGAAATAAAATTTCTAAATATAACAATCTTAGAAAAATATTAACAATTTGTTCCATTAACCTACGCACTGTCCATTTTATTTTAAACTAAAACTATTTAAAATAGCAAAAGCTCATCATGCCCGGTTAACCTGAACTTCCTCAAATCTAAATGGGTTTCTCACCCAATGTACTTATATAATTTGAAATGGTACAAGAAGTGACATAAAAAATAAGCTGCAGGGTGCATCATTGAAATTGTGAACATTTCTAGTAACACAGGAAAAATCTGGATCCTTCGTAAAATTCCATTTGCTGAAATTGTTTGGAAAATGTACTAATATTTTGAATGGTACAGCCACTCACAGTTCACTACCATTTCTCTCAGCGATTATACTTTCTCTCATATTGTAGAGAAAGCAAGATATTTGATTTCTGATAATCTTCTTTTTTCTGTATATCGTAATTTGTGAGCAATTGAGAAAGGTGACAGGTAAAAAGTTATATCTTGAGAAATGAGTTGTGTTTTTTCTAGAAGCCCCCAACAAAGCATGGTGTGGTAGTCTATAGTAATTCAGAAACTCGTTATGTTTTCTAACAGAAATGCAGGGTAAATAGCTCAGGATACAAATTAATCCTCAAGGAGAGCTGTGCAAGTTTGTTGCATGAAACTTGTAAAGCAAGAAATGCAATTAAGATTAACAGTATTTAATTTTCTCTTCTCCGCAAGAGAAATAATTAAAGTAAATATTCTCCCCTGTGAAGTACAACATATGCCTCGTGTTTCTTCTCACTGGCTTAAAAAAATGTTATGATGAAATATCCTAATATTTGCACAAGTATTTTATCAACTATAACAATTTTTTTAAAAAAGACATGCAAACTGTGACAAGCTCTTTCAAATCAAATAATGCTCATAAATAAATGTTCTATTATTTTCAGATATTTTAAAGAAATGTACATAATATGTGCCTTTAATTACACAAATATGTACCATGAGGAAACATTGGCCAAAGATGCACAAACATATTAATCTATACAGCATTGTATTCTAACCAAATGTCAAGAAATTTCATTTAGCTATGCACTGAAGCAACAGACAAAAATATGCAAAATCATAAAAATCCGCTCCCTACCGATTACTGTATAAACTCAAATATAACACGCATATTTTTTCAAAAATTACTAACTGAAAATTGGGATGCAAGTAATATTTGTGACGAGGTTGGAACCAGAGCCTTGCAACTCTCCATCAAATCAGGGGACAAAGCTCGAGGGAACTACTCTAGGAGGTGCTAGTGTCACCGCGTGCAGCTGCAGGTTAGGCTCACCTAATATTCACACATTAAAAATAAAAAATAATAAAAACAAAAACTCACACACGTTTTAAGCACACTGTAATGGTTTCCACCATGTTATATGGGAGTTATAAGGTCCCAGTTGGAACAGCGAACATGAAGCGCATTGCACGTGGTCACATGATGGCGTGGGTTATGCTTCGGTATTTATCACGTGGCGTGACAGGGCCAGTTTTCACGATGGAATATCTCACAGCACGACTTTCCCGACTGTGCCGCTATAAACCTAATAGCTACCTTATCAAGAACACGAAATACCTGACATGCTACTGTGAAGATGGGCTTCGAGGCAAAGCTTTCTAAAAATCGCACTACAACCTGTGTTAATTGGCAAGCCTTTCGATGACAGAATTTTTGCAATAAAAGTAGAGGGAAAAAGTTTGTTTTTTTTCAAGATTCTTTACTGTAAAATGACGGTGTGGGTAATATTGAAGGGTGGCATATAAGTGAGTATATACAGTACTACCAGATTTTCCGCCCCGGTAAGATTACCTGTGGGTACCAATTGCTGGAACCAGGAGGGAGCTGGTGCCCCATCCAGACCAGAGGAACTGTGTTTGGAGGGCAGCCAGGGGAATAGGCTGCTCTCGCAGCAGCTGCAGCAGCAGCAGCGGCGGCAGCCGCCGCAGCAGCGCCCTGCATGGCCATGTACTGCTGCTCCGCAACAACCTGAGCAACTGGGACGGTCTGCTCCGGCTTTGCGTTTGTAACCAGTGCTTCTTGTTTTTGCTGAGAATCCAAAAACACAAAGGATTGCATTGCATTAGTATTTATGAATAGGCATGTTATAGACATGTAACTTAGACATGCAAATACATATTTTTACAGGAAAAAGTAATGTAGTTCAGTTTCACTTCAAATATGCAAGATATTCTGAATTAATTTCAACTACTTTTATTTTGTATACTTTTACATTAGTGTTATAGAATATTAACTATTATTGTTGTTTTTGCGTTTGGAACAGAATTAAAAGAACACTGTACTCTATTATTCACTAATTTATTGCACTTGCTCAGAATCTAATTTCTACAGAACACCTTATTATATTTGTAAGGAATATTTCTATAAGCATTAAAACTCAATGCTTTCCTTCCAGTGACTCAATTCACTCACACTCTCAAACACTGACCAATTTGTCCACAACCAGTTTGTGACGAAGAACAGGAACCAACCACTGACATTTACCACTTCATTGGTAGAGTAAAGACAGAGATCAACTGTGTGAATAGTGTCTTTGAGTGAGGAGACTGTACCAGTAAGTTCATGCAAGTTACATTTACTACTACCATTACTTTGGCACAAGCAATATCAACTGACTAAGAATCAGCTTAAGATCGCAATCAGGGAAAGTAAATTTATTTTTACTAAAAGCCTGTGCAATGTAGTAAACAAAACCAATGAGGTAAGGCATACAAGGCTTCATGGGCAACTATTTAGGGTCATATTCTCAGTTTTCAACTTTCCCTAACATACTTCCGAGTATTGTGATGACTTTATTCTCATACCACATCGGCAAGTAGATACACTTTTTGAGCATATCATACGCACCAAATTGGAAGGGGCTCTAGAAAAAGGAGGACGACTTTCAGAAATGATGATTTCCTCAAGGCTTCTTCAACAGTGAACCTACAACTTGATACTGTCATGTCCAACATGCCATTAGAGGGAACTGATGGAAAAGAGATCCAAAAACATACTGTTCCGTGGCAACACAGGAAGAAGTTGTCTTCAACTCAGTACATGCGGATGATCATGGCATTAGTCACAGAATCCCAGTATACAAAGCAGATGATGGACTATAGATACACAAAATCGCTGGTGTTCCACAAAATTCAGTGCTAGGGATTATTATTTATGATGACTATCTTAGCCTGCCTGCTTCCAGAACCACAACAGAATTTACAAACTGCATTGCTATTATTATCTTCCAAATTTATAGTGGAGACAGCATATATCTGCAATGAAGCAATTGCCTTAGTCAGTCAATAGTTGGATTCTGCAGGATTGCAAACACAAATTAGAAGTAATTCTAAAGAGTTGTGCAAAGAGAAGAGAATCTCACCACTTTCAAGAGTAGAAACAACCAAATTTCAACACAACCTTCAATAAAAATACCTCAGCATCATAATCAACACAAATGCTTCCTTCCTTTGGAGACCACTTGGAACATGGCAGCACGAAAGTAAATGTTTCATCAACCAGGTTAATTTTGAACATTGGAGGGCCTCATCACGAAAAGAGAAAACTTTGTGTTTGGCTGTCACGTCTGTTTTGCTCTTCAGATCCCTAGTTTGGGCCATCTCTGAGGGTACGAAGGGCAATGTAAGAAGAATGGTGTAATATGAAGGTTATCTGTGCTAAGGGTAGACAGTGTAATCTACACCATCTCAAGTAAAGCAGTATGTGTTATCACAAGGATATCCCCTTTGGATATAATGGCTTGTGAACAGCAGGTGAAACAGCAACGGATATAAGATACAAAACTGACTGAATCTATTAGAAGAATGGCAACAGTGAGGATACACTTCTTCCAAGGGAAGTGGACCTACTGACTGATTAATTTGGTTGAATCATTGGTAAATTTTAAGAAGGGTGCGGTATTATTATCTCATAATTTCCGAATGGTTATGGATGCTTTAGAGCCTCCCTGTATGGGTTCAAACTGAAACATTTCCTGTACATCCTATATGAGTGTCTGCGGTCACACGGAAAAGCACAGGTTTTTTCAGTGTCCAAGCTTTCACCCTCATTGACGGATCTTCATTAAGGTACTTGAAATTGCCCTGACAACTGCAAAAATCTTAGCTGCACATATACTTACTACTGAAACCAGTTGGAGCTTGTAATTTTTCACAGCTACAAGTACTGGAGTTAAGATGGCAGAAAGAAACCAGGGAAATCTCTTGATGCCACTGAATTACTACCAAGATAGTAGAAGAGAAGGTCATTAGATAGTAGAAAAGTCACTATTCCATTCCCTACAATGTAATGAATATAGGCAGTTTCTGCTGAGAGGATGAAGAAGGAAGGAATATTTGCTCACTTGCACCTCCTTGCATGTGCAAACTCTGATTCGCAGTAGTTAAAAAAAACTCAAACTCCTTCCATTGAGGATACTAGTATTTACACAAAGGTGCTCATGATAAATCCGTCATTCTTAAAAGCTGTTTAGACTTCATTTTTATGAGAAAATACAGATTTTCGAATGCTCATTTGAGTCGAGTTAAGATTTAGCCCTTTTCAGCAGTTGTATTATCCTATTTGCTCTTCCTCTTTAGAGATCCATTTTGACACTGAATTGAATTGAGCATGGCAAATGTTTGTCACATGGTGCCTTATTTGCTGTAACATTGAAGAGCTTGGAAGCACATACAACACTTCAAAGAACACATAGAACACTTAAAAGAAACTCAACAGGATCAATCTCACCAAAAACGTATACCAATCAAAAGGTTTGAAGACCCACCTGTTAATTGCCATGGGAAAATTTGTTTGCCATTGTTATATTTAAAATTGCTTTTCTTCATAGCCAAGGAAAATAAAAGTATGGTCGATTACCATGTTTTACGTATTAATAGTGATTGTACCTCCAGTTGAAAGGACAAAACATAAATAAATACCTGCAAATGAGCCGGGTGAGCCTCTGGATGCATAGAGTAATGTGACAGGTTCTCGTGCTCTGCCAACTGGCGAGCGACCTTTTCTTGCGCTTGAGGGTGTGTTTGCAGGTGAAGCTGGGGACCAGCTGGCAGGTGAGGGAGAGACTGCGGCCGAGTGGGAAGGTGACCTTGAAAACCTTGGGAATAAAGCTGAAAAGAAGTTTGCAGAGCAGCTGGAAAGGCATAAGCGTGTGCGAGACCCTGACCATGAGCCAGAGTGTGTCCTTCAGGATGCATCTGATCTCCGTCTTCAGGCCGAGGTCCTTGACGATGCATCTGAGGCCCAATCATCTGAGCTTGACCTGGCACCAGTGGGCGGTCTGGAATACGAGTCCTTGAGTGATCACCAGGATGAGTGAAAAGATCGCCTGAAGGGTGAACTAAACTTGGTTGAGGGAGCTGCTGATGATGCATTAAATAGGGCAATGAATTTGGAACAGATGCCAACCAGGCATTAAATGTAGGTCCATCAGTGGATCTCGTTTCCTCTTTGGGCACTGTTTCTGTAGGAGGCACTCGTGACATGGAAGGAACATGCGACGTTGACGTGAGAGGAACTTGCGCCGTTGACGTGAGAGGAACTTGCGCCGATGACGTGAGAGGCACTTGCGCCGATGACGTGAGAGGCACTTGCGCCGATGACGTGAGAGGAACTTGCGCCGATGACGTGAGAGGAACTTGCGCCGATGACGTGAG